ATACATAATGTTAATGCTAAGACTAATAATTAATATTAAAACTAACGGTAATAAAAACAACAATAATAACAACAATGACACCAATAATAACAGCAATAATAATAATAATTATGGTCGAGTTGACTTGTGGCCGAGTTAACTTGTGGCCGAGTTGACTTGTGGCCGAGTTGAATGCAGCCGAACTTTTTGTGGCCGAGTTGATTTGTGACTGAGTTGACTTGTGGCCGAGTTGACTGTGGCCGAGTTGGATCGAATTCGGTGCAGAGACGACGTTGTCCTCTCTCTCTGTATACAGTACTGTTTATTTATTTTTAGCCTATAATAGCATTACGTCATATCCAAAGCCAGATTTTGGCGGGAAAAAAAACCAATGCGGTATTAAAGACAGCCAACTCACAATAATAAAACATTTGCGTCATCTTAGGGTTACATTGCGTCGCACATAGTCCTAAGGAAGTAGCAAAGTAGGAAATTTGATCTTTGTAAATCTCACAATAGACGTAACAGTGTAATAAATGAAGGGAATTCTTCCCGTACCCCCAGACTAGTTTCACTATTTCTACAAATCTATCAAATGAAACGCTAGCCTACTTAATCGACGGACTTCAACGCAAGTCTGACACATTGCTGCTCCACTGAGTTTGAGTAAGAGGGAGGGAATTGCCGAACCATCCAGACGGTGCTCAACAATTTCAAAATGCTTCGATATTACGCAGTTTTCTACCAGTAGTGTACGTTTAAGCCCAGCTTTAGTAAGAGTTTATGTGTAGGCTAAACTGTAAGTATTATGACATTAGGTAATAGATATTGTTTGAATACAATCAGAATCAGCCAGTTAGGAATTTGGCTAGGCCTAGTCCCTAAGTTAGCCTAAGTCTTCTCTGTCCTCTAGCTAGGCCTAGGCCGATTCTAGCTTCTAGCTTACAGAGCTATAGGCGAATTAGAGTCAACTAGGCCCCAGTCAGCTTAGCCATAAGTGAACTCGGCCCCATTTTAACTCGGTCCCAAGTACTAGTAGTCAACTCGGCCCCAATTTACTGTGAAATTTAATAAATAATTACCAAAATATGTTTTAAATGCAAAGCCAAAATTAAAGTTTTTAAAATCGTTGCCTTTGTTGTTATTTCTTTTTCATTTACATCCACATAACATTATTAATTAAAACTGCATTATTAAAAATAATAGTAAAATAATATTAATAGGAATATAAAAAGGTATAATATAACTGATGATAATAATGACATGGCAATAATAATAACGACATAATAATGACAATACTTAATGAGTTATAGACATTATATATATATGTGTATTTATATTTAAATATATACAGACCTATGTACATAAATCGTGATATACAGTAATAGATCAAATCAAAACCGTCTATGTATAAGAAATAATAAGAAACGAATACTAATGGTATGTATTTAGAAACGCTTTATTGGAGAAAACAAACATTTTGACCTATTGCCTATCCTTAAGAAGATTGATTTTTCACTGATTATGATTAAAACATATGATCTTATGAATTTTAATTTTAATTATATATTACAAAGTTAAACATGGAATTTGGTATAATAATATGTATGCTATTCATTTTGTTTTTTTATAACTATACTTCAAATTTTACTTCTACATGAAATATAGATCAATTAATTATGAATTATTCCTATATATATATATATATATATATATAAATA